AGGCGCTGTACCGCTGAGCTACATCCCCGGCCCCTCACTGCGTCTCAGTGTGAGAGTGTGTGCTGGTCTTCCTCAGCTGTCTGGAGCCCTCTGCGCAAGCCCGAACTTGTTGGTGTTGATCACCCGGTGCCCTTCCCAGCCAAGACGCTTTGTTTGGTTCTTGCCATGATTCCCCAAACCGGTTACGACCAGCCCCGAGCTGCCACTGTCCGTATTTACATGCATGCGTGGCAGACGTTTTCCCGGACCACAGATGCTGTTCTCTCTATTTTTCCTCCACTTCCTTTTCCAGGGGGAAAGCGTGGCTTTGCTTAAGCTCCTTTCCCCAGGGAATAGGTGCACTCCACTCTAACTATTTTAATGGACACCCTAAACATTGCCCATGCATACTTAACATTACAAAATATAAAGCAAGTCAGTGTATTTAACATCACCTAGAAACTTTAATGCTATTAAAATATTAAATCGAGGGGCTGGGGATTTAGCTCAGCAGCACAGTGCCTGCCTGGCAAGCGTAAGGTCATGAGTTCAATTCCTGGTACTGGAAAAAAACCAAACAAACAAAAATTAAATCAGATCATCACTTTCCCATCTTTCATATGATCGTTACCTAGTATTTTAGTCCCATCTCATTGTTATGTAATCTAAATTAGCTTTCCAAATTATTTTATTTCCTTCTCTCTGTAGATTGCTCCACCGGTTTGCCTGTTTCTTTATCCACCATTGCTTCTTGGCTCTTGAAGCCGAACAGGGCCTGGCTCTGGTCTCAGTGCCGGTGATTTCTTCTTTTTTCCTCCACTTACTTGCTTAAGTATTTATTCTCAGAAGCTCAGCCTTTCTGGGTTAGAGGAGAACTTCCACATCATCCAATCTCCACGTGGCTGGCCTCCTTCTCTCCAGCACTGTAGCAAGGCGAATGTTCTTCCGAAAGCTGAAACCGGTGCAGAGTTGGTGTCCGGAAGGCAGCAGGAGGGACAAAGGAATTGAGGAGGGAGAGAGGAGGCTGGCAGGTGGCAAGAGTCTGGGGTGACTTCAGACCGCGCTTCTGAAGAAGCAAGTCTCTGGGCCCTGAGATTCTTACGTCATGACCTGCCCCCAACATCTGAAGGGTCCCCGCGGAGTCGGAGAAGGCTGTATCGGCGGCATTAAAATGCACAGAAGCACCCCATGGCTTTGCCGCTGTGGACCAGCATAGTTGTGGCACCAGAGAACCCTAAAAATAACAGGGTAAACAGGTGAGTGAGAGCCCTGAGACGGAAGTCAGCTGATGACGAAGAAATAAAGAAGTGAACTCTTTCATGCTCATATGGCCTGTGAACTGCTATATACAGATCCTTTTAAAATTGTCACCTGCAGTTATACTTTTTGCATCTTGCTTTTGTCCCCTTAGCTTTTATTATGGACATTAGACAAAATCATTCCCAGTACTTGCCAACCATGAGAAGTCTCCTGTCACAGATGGCTACACATCAGATGTCCCATGTCCCTGGCTGGGAGCACAAAGTGAGGCCACATTCTTTCCACGATGCGAACTCCCTGTGCGCCGCGGGAGAAATCCTCGTCCCTCTGTGTAGCCCCGGGTCCTCCCCGCAGCGCCTGCTCGTCCTGTGGGCCGGGCCAGTGCGGGGACGCTCCCTGCACACAGCCTTCCCTGAGCTGGTGCTTCTCAGCTACCACAAGCTGTCAGCAGCGGCTTGGCGGGTGGGTGACAGGTGAGTTAGCATCCATGCTAACTCCTCAACCTTTAAATGGACTGGCTGGTTACCATGTACAGGTTTCGTGAGAATTTAAGGAAAAGGGAGGAATGGGATCAAAATGATCACAGTCAGGCCGGCCCTGTATTGTCATTCTCAGCCTCTGGAAACTCGGCAGAAATGAGCCCTCCCCACTGCCCTTGTGAATTTTTTTTTCTTTTTGGTGTCAGGAATCCAACTCACAAACTGACACTTGCCAGGCAGGCTCTTGTGCCGCTGAGCTATATCCCCGGCCCTGCCTTAGTGAATTTTGGAAGCCACATTTTCCTTCTCTTGCCGTTGCTACCATCACTGTTCCAAGATGGCAGCCACTGTCCGGCCTCTTGGGTCCACCTACACCAAGGTGCAGGAAGACGTGGAGAGATATAAGGTAAATTGTCTTCAGCACTGAAAGTTTTGTTTTTATATTTATGAGTACATGTGTGCAGTACATACTGATTGTAGTCATCATGGGGAGTAGGTCATGGACATAACACATCTAAATCCTGGAGCCCACGGTACTTTCAGGGACACACGGAAGTGGTTAATTTCTTTTTTTTTTTTTTAAACTAGAAGGGAAACCAGGGATATAGCTCAGTGGTGCAGCACCTGCCTGGCAAGCACAAGATCATAAGTTTGATTGCTGGTACTAGAAAAAGAAAAAGAGAAAGAAAACTAGAAGGGAAAAGGAACCTTTAATATACTCATCTTTATACTACAGGACAAGGTTCATGGCTGAGGTACCTATAATAAGAATGAGAACAATAAAAGAAAAGCATAAAAAAGATTTAACATGAGTGTGGGTGGTACAGGAGACTTCAAGGAAGACGGTGTTCACAGACAGCCGTGCAGAAGTGTTTCGGGGATGGAAGGATCTGACCGAAGCCTGGCTATCTGAGGAACTTTTGTTGCAAGGCCTGTTTGTTTAGGTTCTCTGACAAGGTCTTCTTTAGGGGGGTCCTTTCTTCCCTTCAAGCAGGGAAGAAAGCAAAGGGAAGAAATGCGAGGGACCTTCCTGCATCTGCTGTTTTCTCAAATGCCAAGGCGCCGTCCTTTGGGGTATTGTGTCCTGAACCCTGTCGATACCAACTCAGTGCTGGGCAGGGCAGTGCACACCTTCAAATCCAGCTGCTCTGGAGGCGAAGCAGGAGGGTTGCAAATTTGATGCCTATCTGGGAAACTTACCAAGACCCTGTCTCAAAATAAAAAATAAAAAGGGCCAAGGATGTAGCTAAGTCGCAGAACGGCTGGGTTCAATCCCTAGTACAACAAAAACAAAACAAAACAACAAAAACCAAATCTATGATAAAATACAATTTCTAGCACTTTCTATGGAGGAAGGGGGTCATGAAGTCCAAGTGACTGGGACCCTCAGAAGTCCTGTGGCAGCCCCAGAGAAAGGGTTTCATAACCCACACAAATCTGGGTGGCCACGTGCTGCTTTGAGCACAGCGTGGGGACAGCGCTGCTGTGGCCTATGTCTTTTCCTTTATGAGTGTGTTAAAAATTTCCCCAGTTAGGACAAACTGGCTCAGTGCTTGCTTTTTAAAGATGACCTTGCGACACCCAGAAGGCCATCCTGGCTGGGGGAAGGGTGTTGGAGCAGAACCATACGCACGGCTGCCTTGGCTCCCCCAGGCCTGCCTGCCAAGCTCACGCTAGCTCTTCCTCCTGGGCAGCAGCCTCAGCTTCGGAAGCCGGTTCTGGGGGAGCCATTTCTCACCGAGCTCCGGAGCTGGAACACAGCGGCCCTGGCCACAGCGAAGGTCTGGGGTCCTCTCTCCACTCGAGCTAGAGGGAGCTTCCCTCAGCACTGCGGCAAGGAACCCCGGGGTACACAGTCTTGCCTAGACGATGGGGTGCTAAGGCAATCCCGGTTCCTGCCCAATATGATCCAAATCAAAGGAAATCTCGGAGAAACTGAATCAGAGCCTTGCCCAAACTAAGCCTGAGCCCTGCCATTGCCTCTTTTGACTTACATAAGCCTAAAACGTCCCTTTTACTGTTAAAGCCCAGGTTGGTTTTCCTGCTATTTTCACAAACTTACTGAAACTAAGGGTGCTAATTATGACCCCCACTTCATAAATTAGGGACAAAGCTGTTAAGTTACTTGTCCCAAACGACAGAGTTAATTTGTATAAGATCCAGGATTTGATCCCAGACAACGCGACTCAGAAGTTACCCAGATTAGTCCTAGTGTGTGCTTTGCACTGAGATCTAACACTGTGTTTTCCCAAATTTTGTAAACATCATCTGCAACTGTCCAGGCTTGTATTCCCTTATAAACACTGTAAGCATGAATGGACCAAGGCAGGTAGGAATTGATGCACATAAGAATTCTCTTCTGCTCTGTGTTTTCTTTAACAGCTGCCCACAGCTGGCGCTTCATGAAAAAGTCCCATCCTTTCTGTCCTCCCAAGCTGCCAACCCAAGTGTCTTGCATCTTTTTTCCTTTTTTCAGCACTGGGGATTGGACCCAGGGCCTCCTGTAAGTTAGGCAAGTGCTCTACCACTGAGTTACACCCCCATCCCTGTGTCTTGTAAATTAACACAGGAGCTGACTTCTCTTGGCCTCCTCGTCATAGTTTTGTTGTTATTTTTCTTAGCACGTTCCCAGGCAGTCTAGGCTACACGGTGCCTTCCATAGCTGGACCCGGCTGCTGGACCTCACCTTGCCAGGCATCGTCTTCTCAGGTAGTTCACCCACCCCCCAAAAGGTCCCACCTTCAAGGCATGGACTCAGGCAATAAATCTTTGCAAACCTTTATCTGTATGAAAAGCAAACACAAAGAAGAAAAAGATCACGATTGTGGACAACTCATTTGAAAAGTCGGAGTGAGAAAGAGAGAGGTGGAGGAGGGGCTGTACATACAGGGATGTGGTGTGCGCTGCTTGTCCCCTAGTATCCATTCCCCTTCCTGTAGTAACTGCGGGCCAGAACCACGCTTCCCTTCCCAGCCTTCCTGTGGCCAGCCATGGCTATGCTGCTCAATTCTGGCCCACTGGGATGGGAGTGGACGTCGTATGCTACGTGGAGGGGCTCGCCGTCTCCCCATCACCCTCTTCCCATTCTGCTGGCAGGAGCGTGACTTGTCACAGGCCCCGCAGACTAGGCCGCCCCCAGCCAGGGGTGGCGAGGCCAAGAAACTGCAGCAGCGCAGCCCTCGGTCCCCACGGGGCCATCCTGCCAGTGAGGCTGCGTATGCCTCGGCACTGGCTTGAGAAACAAGACAAGGTCCATCGGATCCGTAGATGGATTCAGTTTCTTGGGGTCTTTATAGAAGCCAAACCCACTTCCTAACTGATGCAGCCGGAAAGAAAGTTCTTGACTTTTATCTTTATTTTGGTTTTTAATGAGTTTTGAACCTATGCCAATGTCCATTGGAAGAAGCTGGGAGAGCAAGACAGGTTGAAAGTAGAGGGATCCGGCCTGGAGGCCACGATGAGAATCCTAAAAAAGAGGAGGAAGCACCTGTGAGCCCGGTGAAAGGCCCGGGCTTGGTGGCAGGAAGGACACTGCTCTGTGTAGATCAAGGGAAGGCGGCCGACGAGCTGTCTGCAGGGGACTTGAGGTTTGGGAGCAGTACGCTGAGGCAGTTTCTGTGTCACAGCTTCTGTTTTCAGGGAAGCTGGAGGCGAGGTCCTCTGTGGAGAGAGCTGTGGGAATGGAAAGTTGAGAGAGGTAATGTCAGGACTCAGGGTGGGAGCGTGGGCCAGACAGCTTCTCCAAGGCCGTCTGCGTCTGTGTTGCCCACGAGCCCAAGAGGGAAAAACCAGATGCTGGGCATGTGTCCCTCTGTGTCATGTCTACCCCTGATAGGACTGGAAAGGAAAAGCTTCGCTGTATGAGTTCAATCAGTCAGAATACAACGCATGAGATGTGGATGTAGCTCAGTGATAGAGCACTCGCCTAGCACGAGGGCGGCCCTGGGCTGGATCCCCACGCAGTGCAAAATATGAACACACACACACACACACACACACACACACACACACGATGTATTGGATAAGCTCAAGAGCCTTAGCCAACACACAGGACCTATCCAAATTTTCAAGTGAAAATGTGTCCATCGGGTGCAGTTTTCAAATTACGATAAGTCTATTTTGACTTTTAAAAATAGGATAGCTGATGCCCTCATAAAAAACCTACATGTGGCCGCTTCACAGCTGGTCAGACATCATGCTAAGCGCTGTACACTGCTTAACCCTCTAGCCTATGAAATAGGTGCTTTTATGCTTACTTTATAGATAAAGAAACTGAAGCCCAGGAAGAGTAAATTTCCTCAAATCATACGGCTATTAAAGGACCGAAATTTGAGCCAAGGCAGAACTGACTCTAACATCTGTGCCCTGTACCACTGCCTGGCGCCTCCTCTTAGCCCAGGACCTGTTCTAGAACGTTAAGGGGCCCTTATGGGGACAGAACTGATGGTCCAGAGCAGCTACTCAGGAAATCAGGTTGTTCGGAGCCTCCCTTCCCTCACCAATCCAATAATTGTGTTGCGCCACAATAAATCTCCTAGCTGGTCCACAACCGTGGACTTTCTTCACACTGCCCCAGTGTATGGGTACACCAAGGACATCACCCAAAGTGTAAGGTGTGTGCTGGCCTATGCAAAAACTGTCTCCAACCGCGCTGCCTTGTGGCCGCAACTGGAACAGCAGGGCAGGAGGGCACGTTGGATGGCTCCACTCTCTCAGGGTTCTTGGAAAGTTTCAAGCGACACTTCAACAGGTGGATGAGAGCTGGGTGTGGTGGTGCACGCCTGTAACCCCATTACTCTGGGATGTGGAGGCAGGAGGATCGAAGGTTCCAGCCCAGCTTGATAAACTTTGCGACTTGGTAAGACCCTATCTCCCCCGCCCCCCCCCAATAGCTGATAAAGGTAGATAGGAAATTTTTTTTCTCTTTTTGAGACAGGGTCTCTCTATGCAGTTCAGGCTGGCCTGGAGCTCACTGTAGCCCAGGCTGGTCTCGAACTCGCAACGATCCCCCTGCCTCAGCCAATCGAGTGCTGAGGGTACAGGCGTGTGCCTCCACACCCTGCTAGAATTGTTATGTAAAAATGAGAAATGTGGCTGTATTTGTCCCTCTAGGCAGCTCTCCATCACTCATACAGAGCATTGCTCCTTGGGCTGGACCCAGACACAGGACATGGACAGAAGGCGTTTCTGCATCTGAGTTGCACGAGGACTTTCAGAATTTCTCCAGCACCATTTACAGCCAGACCTTGGGCCTTGTGATCCCAGCAATGCCAAGGCGGGGGGCTCCCAGGACAGTCCCACGTGCTGTCACTAAGGACGAGCTCTAAACGCTGGCAGTAGGTCCCAGCTTTCGTTTCATTTCGGGGAATGAAATCCCGGTTAATGCAACTTGCCGGCTCGTCCCTCTGCAAGCGTGACTGGGTTTGGTGAGTGTGTGGCTTGTTGTCTTATCCCTGGCAGAGAAGGCTGTGTCTCTGTAATCAGATTAGAGAGGCCACAGGGGCTCCTCTGGCACAGGAAGAAGCTCTTTTCAGAGTGCTAATTTTATTTGTTGTGCGTTTTAGCAGATTAAGCCCGTAGGGTTGGGATTTTTAAAAATATTTCTTCTTTGGGCCAAAAGAGTATTTTAATAAAGCTAAGTTATTTGTGTAAAGCTTCTCCAAATCCCTGACTAATTAATTTCTAAGGCAGCAGAGTGTGGCTTGAGATTAGTGGCAGCCCCTCTTCCACAAGGAGCACAGGGAGAGAGCGGCGGCCTGCACGGGGCCTCCCACGGCCACCCTCGGACTACGCCGGTCCGCACATGTTTGCTTGGACATTTCACGTGAAAATCCAGATTTCATACTCTTTTTGGAGAAGTGGACACTCTGGCAGCAGTGGGGTTGGACTCTCCCAAGGCAGCTCAGAGCAGCGGCTGCCTTCCAAGGAGCACAGTTGTGTCCCGCCCTGCTAGAGCTGCCACCGTGCCTCTTGTCCTATCCTTCCCCACGGTGTCCCTGTTGGAGGCCGCTCCATACTCACATACCTGCCCAGCCCCCCTGGGGTTGTGACTTTACCACCGCTCCCCGGCTTCAGGGGTGTGGCACTCTACAGAAACTTCTCTTATGCCTGCCCTGTAGACAGCAAGATCCTGGCAGACCAGAGGCCCACCCGTGTCCTGTCCTGCTCTCTAGCTAGCATGAAACATGTGTTCTCAGTACATGTCAAAATGTAGGAATAAATGTTCCATGTGTGCCAGGTGTGCCAGGCATGGCGGTAGGCACCAAAAGGGCCAAGAGGGTGTTGAAAGTCATGATATCAAGGAGTTTATGGCACAATGTGAGACACAAACTTACTCTGTGGTGTGTGTGTGGGTGTGGGTGTGTGTGGGTGTGTGTTTGACTGACACCACAAGCAGATGTACTGCACAACAATCGAAAGGGCCCTTACCTGACCCCATGAAAACTTCTGTAGGGGGCTGGGGATATAGCTTAGAGGCACAAAGCCTGTCTGGCGAACGCAAGGTCCTGAGTTTGATTCCTGGTAGCAATCCCCACAAAAAGCCAAAAAACCCCACAAACTTCTGCAGGGCTGTGGATGTTGCTGCACTGTCTGGAAACGGCATCTTACAGCCCTCAGCCCCTTCACGGCACAACGACCCTGTCCTGTCAGCAGAACACCAGGGTGTGTAGCACTCCGAACTAAGTCCTCCCTCAGCCCCAGCACTGGTGAAGGAAGATGCCCCCCACACTTGCCCACCTGCGGGCTAACAGGGGCCCGGCTCATAAGGAGAATGGGCAAGACCATGGGGTGCCCTTGTCTCCAGACATGGGGATCACCCAGGAGGCAGCGGGGAGCCTGCTTTATACTTAGGGGTTCCCCAGGTGTTCCTGAGATTCTCCCCAACTGGGCATTTCTGCAGCTCCCAGGCCTCTCCACGTAGGTCACAGGAATCTGAAGTTCACCTGCTATTTCCTTTACGCAGAGCTTACCTCAGAGCCGTGTCACGCCGGCCATGCTGGCTGGGCTTTTGGATGTGCCCACAAGGGCTACCTTGAAGGATTTCTGCTGGTCCACAGGCAACAACAATCTCTCCTTGCTCTCGCTGGCCTTGGTGAGGACATAGACATTTTGAGCCCCTGTTCACTGTTCTGGGGAGCGTAAAATGGAGCAACCACTGTGGAAAACGGCTTGGCAACTCCTCAAAGGGATTCACAGAGAGCTGTTACACGGCCCAGTAATTCCACTCCTACATACCTGCCTGAGACGACAGGAAACCCGTGTCCACACACTGAGACGTGAATGTTCAGAGCGGTGTTGCTTACAATAGCTAAAAAGTGGAAACAAACCAAGTGTTCATCAGTAGATTACCAGATATGCGCAGTGAGGGGTATCCATGCCATAGCACACAGCAGACAGAAACAAAGTACTGACACGTGCTGCAGCATGGAGAACCTGGACATCGTAAGGGATAGAGACACACAGTGCCTTTGTGTATGTCCAGAACAGCCAACGCTACAAAGACAGAAAGTAGACCCGGGGTCGCCGGGGTGTGAAGAGAGCTGCCTGCTTGCTGTGGTCTGAATGTACGTGTCTGTCTAAAATTCTTGGGGCTGGGGATTTAGCTCAGTGGTGCAGAACCTGCCTGGCAAGTATGAAGACATGGGTTTGATTCCTGGTACCGCCCACTCAAAAAAAAAAAAAAAAACAACTAAAATTCTTATGTTGGAACCTAATATCCAGTTGGATAGTGATGAGATGTGGGGCCTTGGGGTATGTTTAAATTATAAGAGCACCTTCCTCATGAATGGTATTATGCACTTAAAAGAAATTAAAGGCCTGAGGGGCTGAGGGTTGTGACACATGCCTGTAATCCCAGCTATTCCAGAAGCTGGAACAGGAAGATTGCAAGTTTGAAGCCAATCTGGCAAATTATCAAGACTCTGTCTCAAAATAAGATAAAAAGGTCTGGAGATATAGTTTAATAGACCCTGGGTCCAATCCGCAGTACTGCAGGGTGGCAAAGAAGTTTACGGGAGTTCTCAACCCATTTCGCTTTCCCATGCGAGGCGCCATCTTGGAAGCAGAGACAAGGCTTCTTCAGACACCAGATCTGCTGGCACCTGGATCTTAGCCCTCCCAGAATTAAGTAAAGCACGTTTTTATTTATAAATTGCCTAGGCTAAGGAGTTTCGTTATAACACCAGGAATGGGCTCCGACTCTGCTGATAGGTACAGTTTCTTTGTGGGATGATGAAAATGTTCACAAATCAGGTAATAGTGATAAGCATGCAATACTGTGACCATCCGTCCCCAGAACCACTGAGCTACCTGCCCACTTTGGAGTGGTCATTTTATGTTCTGATGATTAGATCACAATTTTGAAAAATCACCTTATAAAAAGAACTGATTTGTTCTCCATCTACACTCCCCTGGAATAATTAAAATGTAACTGTCGCCTGTCACATGGAAGGCGCTGATGTGGACTGACCTTGCTGGCCGTGGTGGTACAAAGGTTAAGCTTTTACAAATCACATTCTGTGTGCTCTACAAGGGCCTCATGAAAGCAGGGCTTATTTCCATTTCCTTACCTCCGGTCACTTGCCATATTTTGATAATGCTCTAAATTACAGGACCCAGAACTGGTCTTTAATTACAGAGCACTTTAATAGGGCTTGCCGGCAAACACCATAGCATTACAGGAGCCACTAATGAAATACAGCATCACTTTATCTGTTCTCTGGTGGCAGCCTTTAAAACGCAATTAGTACCATGCCTGATATTTATTTAGGATTTTATCGCATTGATTCATTCCATCTCCAGACGAGTGTCATGCTTCCTGCTGCTTTTTACTCCTTTGCACGAGTGTGTTCTCATTTCCAGTCCACTCTCTGCTTCCCTCTCGGGCTCCAGTGAGCCAGAAGTCAGTGGCATGGGGAGCTGATTAAGAGAGGCAAACATTTTAAAGATGTGTACCCCTCCTGCCCTCTGCTCTTTCCGGGCATGGAAGAAGAGAGGAACCAGCACAAAGATTTTATTTATTTATTTTTTTTGAGATACGATGCTGCTGTGTAATTCATTCTGACTTAAACTCACTGTGTAGCCCAGACTGGGCTCAAATTTATGGTGATTCTTCTGCCTCAGCCTCCTGAGTGCTGGAATTACAAGCATGTGCCACCACACATAGCTTAATGCAAATAATCATGTCATGTCCCCAACTAAAACCCTCATGGGCATCCAACTGTCACCTCTAAGAAAACAGCCTATTATGACTGGTGTCTAGCTGTCCCCCCCAAAGCCTTATGCAGTCATAGGTGGGGCTTTTCAGAGGCGGCTGGATCTGGGATGTGTGATGCTGGGATTGAGGATGTGATGCTGGGGTTAAGGGTGTGTGTGGCCTGGATAAAATATAAGGCGTGGAAAAACGGGCAGTTGCTTGTTGTTGCTCGTTGCTTGCTGCTTGGATACTTTTGGTACTGTCTGCCATGAACTCTTTCTCCTCTGCTGTGCCACCCTGCCTGGGTGCCCACCAGTTATGGACTGAAACCTCTGCAGACTATGAACTAGATAAACCTTTCTTCCTTTAACTCTGAGTGTCGGATATCTTGTCTCAGCAAGGAGAAAAGTAGCTCAGACACACCCACGAGGGGCATGGTGGTGCATGCTTGTAACCCCAGAACTCTAGGTGGCTGAGGCAGGAGGACTGCAAATTCGAGCTCAGCCTGAGGAACTCAGCAATTTATTGAAACCCTGTCTGGGTTCAGTCCCTGGTACAAAGAAGAAGGAGGGGAGGAAAAGAGAAAAGAGCCCAACTCCTGGCTCAGACAGGAAGGTCCTGCACGTCTTCCTGGCTCCAGGCCTGTTTCTGTGTGGACCCCGTCCCACCTCGGAGGGGCAGGCATTTCTGCACAGCTTTCTTGTGCCGCAGATCACATGCTACCGCCTCTGCGAAGCCTTCCCTTGGCCTCCTCTGTCACCTGACCCATTCTCCACGCCACGCAGCTCCCCTGACTTCTGGGATCCCTTTGCAGGTGCTGCGCGGTGCCCTCCTCGGTCCCTGCTTGGCGGCCAGCAGTGTGTGGGTCGCGGAATTCAGTCCCTTCGCGCCTCGCCCACGCACGGTGCCACCCATCAATTTGCGTCTCTTAAATCTCTGCGTCTCCTGAGGACACTTTGGGTTTACTGGCTCCTAACAGGGGTGCTTCTTAACAAACAGGGACCGGTAGGTTGCGTGAGGTGCCACACCGTGCTAGGGCATTCCAGACAGCAGAACAATGCGGTCCACCGGCGGGGCTGAGGCGGGGAGCCGCATCTAGCATGGCCAGAGGCAGTGGCTCCTTCTATCAGAGCCTCCTAAGGAGGTTTCCTCTCCAGGACTGCAGGGACAGACAGGAATTTACTTTGGCCAGGCCAGAGACCGAGAGGAGACTGAGCTGCCCCTGCTCCTCCAATGGAAAGGTCCTTCACACTCAGAGGAGGCTGTGCCTGAGGCGGGCCTTTGTTCTCCCAGCAGGCAGAGGGGAGAGAGGCCCGGGCTCCCACACAGTGCCCTGTGCACGGCTCTGTCCTGGGGTCCACGCAAGCAACACCTCTAGAGACAGGAGGGCGGCCGGTGGGAGATGACAACGACGTCCTGCCGCAGTGAGCCCACGGCCACGGCCATCTCCAAGCCAGACCTTCCCAGGGACACGCCCCACCCGCGCCCTCTGATCCTTCTGCGGGCAAATGGGTCTCCTTTGTACAAAAACGCACTGAGATCACACCAGAAGATACAGTTCGCATTAAAAACAGAAAGTTTGCTATAATGATGCTGGACTTGGAAGAATGTGAAAGAGCTAACACCCCCCCCATCCTTGGCGACAGGAAGCCGTGACCAGGGAGAGGCCCCAGGCCTTGACCTGGGGAGTGGACAGCAAGAGCAGAGGCCTTCGAACATAGCACCTGGGGAGGGGGCGGGAGACAGAGGCTGTGGCCTCAGGGGAGACCCGGCGGCTGGGAGCTGGGACCAGGAGACAGGAAATGCGGCTGCAGCGCTAGTGCTTTTTGTAGAGATGCACTTGGGCCCAGAGTCCTGACACCTTGATAATCACAGCTGCTCTGTTCTCAGTGGGCAACAGGTGGGGACAGCCCGAATGTCCGTCCTGGCTGAGTGGACAGCAATGTGTTACATTTTCTAAAGAACTACAGGAGAGAACGCGGTGCCTGGAGGCCTAACTACTCAGGAGGCTGAGAAAGAAAGATGGTCGGAGTCCAGGAGTCTGAACATAGGTTGGGAAACACAGTGAGACCATGTCTCAGGGAGAGAGAGAGACAGAGACAGAGAGGGAGGGAGGGGAGGAGGAGGGAAAAAGGAACGGAAAACTCAGATGCATGCTATAACACGGACGAGTCTCGAAGATATTACAATAAACGAAATAAACCAGACGTCAAAAGACAAACAATGCGTGATTCACTTATATAAGTGACCAAGACTAGTCAGGTGCGCGGAGACAGACGCAGGATGTGGCTGAGGGGCAGGACGGAGGCTCTCGTGTGAAATGGCTCAAAAGTTCTAGAGAACACCGGTGGTGACTACGGTGGCACAACAGCGCCATAAACTGAAGGCCACTAAATCGTACAGTTAAAAAATAGTTCAAATAGTGAACTTTGTGTGTATATAAAAAGTGGATGGGCCTAGCTCACCTCTGAGGCATCGAGGGTTCAGTGAAGGCGTGACAGGCGATCGCAAAGGATGATTGTCGATAGACCGGTCTGCTGAGGTTAGGGGTGAATTTTGGGTGATGCTTTCGTTGTGATCCACCGATGATGAGGATGATGGTGACGATGGTGACTGCCCCAGGCCTCTGGAGGACACAGCTCCGAGGTAGCCATGTGGTGGGGGGCACAGACCGGTCCCCAGCAGCCCAGTAGGAGTCCTTCAGGCTCAGCGGGAGCCTTTGTCCTCTGTCCCCTTCAGGCAGGAGAAGAGATGGGCCGGGGAGTTTCCTCTGGCCAGCATCCGCAAACTGAGCTGTCCGTTCTTCAAGTGGAAAACATCTTCCGAGGCTGCCCCTCCCCGCCCGGTCCTGCCTAGCGGTGATAGAACAGCTGTCACCTGTTGGGTCTGACTCACCAGTTTATCATCTTCTCCCCCCACTCCACCCCCAAACCCTTCCGCAAACCCACCCACCCGAAAATGCCTAAGCACAGTCTCCTATTTTAAGAACTGAATTCCCGTCGGCATGGCAACTTCTGGCTGTGCCTCTTGTCAGTCGCTGCCGGGTGGAAGCGAAGCCACCTTTAATAGGGCTCCCGCCAGCTTGCTGCGCAGAGCGGGCCGGTGGGCCGGTCAGCCGGTGCGCCTGCGCCGAGCCATCTCTGTCACATCCTTGTGTATTTACTCATCGTTCAACTCTTGAAAAATGTAAAACCCGGGCTGGGTGTGGTGGCACCTGCTGTAATCCCAGATACTCAGGAAGCTGAGGCAGGGAAATCACAAGTTTGAGGCCAACCCGGGTAAGTTAGAAAGACCCAAAATTTAAACAAAGAAGAAGAAAGGAGTGGAAGTATAGCCAGTGGTTTCTTTTTTGTGGTGCTGGGATTATAGACGTGCACCACCATGCCTGGTTTAAGGTTTATTATCAAGTGCACCAAAATTAAAGTGGAGGCTATGCAATCTCACCACGTCCCAAATAAGGATTGGGGTTTATAATCCATGAGTTAGGTGTGTAGAAAGTGGTATCATCACCTCTCCTCATTCTTTGCAAGACCAGATTGTCTTCAGAAATATTGAAAGAAAAGTGTGCTTTAAATGTTCCTTTATTTTTTGTTTTCCTTGTATTGGTGGGCTGGGGATTGAACCCATGGCCTGGGGCATGCTAGGCAAGTGGTCTACTAGCGAGCTGTGTCCCCAGCCTGTGTTACAGAGAAATTGAAAGCATACCCACGGGGCTGGGGATTTAGCTCAGCGGCAAAAGCGCCTGCCTGGCAAGCGCAAGGTCGTGAGTTCGGTTCCCGGTACCGGAGAAAAACCAAAAAAACCAAAAAACCAAACAAACAAACAAACAAAAAAAGAAAGCATACCCACGAGTAAAAAGACTGATGAAATAAACCCCATGTACCTGACATGACTGCCTTATGTTTAAAGGCGTTTCTGTGGAAATTAAGGAAAAGGTTTGTACTTCCTCGGAACATGGATTGAGAGAAGGGAAACAGTACGTTTGCAAATGGGTTTAGTACAGAATCCAGGCCTCTGTCCCGCCTGAAAGTGAAGGCTGGGGTGGGAGGAGCATCTGCAGGAAAGAAAGGGAACCACCTTCGGTAGTTGCCATGGAAACCACGGGGCTGAGCCGGTTGAGTTTGCTTATGGGCCAGGCAGGTTCCTGTTAATGGACTGTGGGTCACAACTGCGGGAGAAACACACAGGTTGTTCTCGCAGGGAGACTTCAATGTCTCCGAACTTCCCTTTCTCCTCCAGTGGTGTTCAGTTTCAGAATATTTTCACTCTAAGTTTCTAGGGTTTAATTAAAAGACAGACAACTAGCCAGGTGTGGTGGCACATGCCTATAATCCCAGCACTCAGGAGGCTGAGGCAGGAGGATTGTTGCGAGTTCCAGACCAGCCTGGGCTACGAGGTGAGCTCAAACCAGCTTGAACTGCATAGTGAGACCCTGTCTCAAAAAGACCAAAAAGAAAAAAAAAAAAGACAACTTTGGTGTTTTGTTTCTCAGCTTTAAGGCTTGTTTTATTTTGTGTTGAGAAGACTCACCAGGTGTTAATTTGCATACTCACCTTGAGCAATTCTGGGATTTTATAGGAGACCACTGGAATCCTGTTTACCACAGGAAGGCCCTAAATCGCTGGAAGAAAATCCCACAGGGTTTTGAGGGGATGGATCCCCACCTCAGGATGTGGAAGATAGAACTGGTGACAAGCACTTCAGGAGACCAGGGAATCCAGCCCAAGTCAGCAGTCAGAGGGTAGGGAGTCAGGTTCCCTCTCCCCAAACGACTGACCCTAGGGTAGATGAGGCAGTTGCGCAGAAGCCCAGGGCTGCTGTACGCATCAGCTCAGTCGCTGGATGGCTTATGGAGAAGAAGCAAGACTGGCGTGGTGCCAGCCCGACTTGGCCCCACGTGCACCACACCCTGCGATGTCCTCGTCCTCAGCTTCACCTTCCTGGGTGTCTGCCACCAGCTACGGCTGTGGCGAAAAATACGAGTAACTGCATTTGCCCTGACTTTTCAGAAGACAGAGGCACGGTATGCACATAATTTATGATTGTGTGTTGTTATAGTTCCATTTTATGACTGATTATAGTCGTGGCTCCCTTACTGCACCTAATTTATAAGTTAAGCTTTATCATGGGAATGTATAAAAAGCAGCGCCAGGTGCTTTCAGTTTCACCCGGGTCCTGGAATGCATCGCCTCCCCGAAAGGGGGCGCTCTATTATTTCTGCTGTGATATTCCGGGGACGAAGACTGCGCAGGCGGAGGGCCGCCACTAGGGGGCGCGCGAGGCCTGGCTCGCGGAGCTCTGGAGTCGCTGGAGCTAGAGAACGGTAGGGTTGGCTGAATACCTTTGCGGGGTAACCTAGGCCCTCGCCTCCTCCTGGCAGTGGCGGGGTCTTGCGGCCAGCTGCTGAGCTATTCCCATGTCCTACAAAACTCAGAAGTTCCTCCAAGCAGTACCGGGCTTAGTCCCCTCGGGCCCCCAACTACCCTCAAGTCCTAGATTTCCTTCGTGCAGGCAGGCGCTCTGGGGGGGAGGGGAGGGGAGCAAGGGGTCTCAAACTTCCAGAATTGAGGAAGCCTTTATACTCTCAAACATTATTGAAGACCTCAAAACGGTTTTTGTTTATGTGGGTTGTACCTCTCAATATTTACCAGTCAAGAAATTAAAATTCAAAGCTAGGCATTGTGGTGAATGCCTGTAATCCCAGAACTCTGGGAGGCTGAGGCACGAGGATAAAAAGTTGAAGTCTAACCTGGGCAGCTTAGTGACTTAGGAAGACCCTGTCTCAAAATAAAACATAAAAAGGGCTTGGGGGAGGGCATGGTGGCACACGCCTGTAATCCTAGCACTCCAGAGGCTGAGGCAGGAGTATCTTTGCAAGTTCAAAAACAGCCTGGGCTACAAAGTGAGCTCAAGGGCAGCCTGAACTGCATAGTGAGACCCTGTCTCAAAAAAACAAAAAATTAAAAAAACAAAAAGGGCTTGGGATGCAGCTCATTATGAAAGCCCTGGGTCCAATCCCCAGTATCCATCTCAAAATGAAATGAAATGAAATAAAATAAAATAAAGCCCTGAATTTAAACATATTTACTTCTTTCAATAACAAACCCACTACATGTTAATATCACACTTTTGGTTTAGAAAAATAACTGTTTTGCCTGTCAAGGTGGCCTGTAATCCCAGCACTCAGGAGGCTGAGGCAGGAGGATCGCCAAGAGTTTGAGACCAGCCTGGGCTACACAGTGAGTTCAAGGACAGCCTAGACTACGGAGTGAGACGCTGTCTCAAAATAGAGGAGGGGGGCAGGCTATTATACTTTTCTGCCATTTTTGATTGTCTAGCTTAATAGAAGGCCGGTGGAGCCTCCTGTCTGCTCTGTACTCTGATGTGAGTTTTCTCAGAGCACTGAGCTGTGTACGTGTGTGAAAGAATGCGAGTGGAAAAGGCACACAGTGTGAAAATGGTTGTGACCTTGCACACCGCTGTCCACTTCCATACCAACACAAGTGCAAACAGCAGTCAGTGTTATTTTGGGTAAGAGGCGAAATGCTCTCTTGTGGAAGGAAGGCAGCTTTGGGTGAGGGCTGAGGGCCAGGCTGCCCCGAGGTCCTCCCACCAGCAAAGCGGCAGCCTCTGCTGCCAGTGGCCCGGGGAAACCGCAGACTGCTTGCTGCCTGGGTCTGAGGGACAGCAGCTGGCAGAATGGTGGCGAGAGGGAGCTCGGGTGGCTTCCGGTCAGGGCTTGTTTTCCTCATTCTGATGCCCTGCTGACATTGAGCCCCATTTGTGGGAGAGTAAAATCAATCCAAAGATGCCTGACATTTCCACACCCGGGCCCTCCATGGGGTCTATACAGAGCGTGCTGCTTGGAAGAAGCCGTGTGTGCGTGCGTGTGTGTGTGTGCGTGTGTGCATGCGTGTGTGTGTGTGTGTGTGTGTGTGTGTGTGTGTGATCTTTCAGAGCAACAGGTCTGGAAAGTTTCCCCCAAGGTTTCCCACCGACCTGAGCAATCACAACCATCCAAGGAACTTTGTGGGAATCCTGATTCCTGTTTCCATTTTAGATCTCTCAGGGCTGAGCCTGGCTTTTAAAATTTCCAGGGATTCTGACACCCTTAGGCTCCCCGCCCCCCATATCAATTCAACACAAGCCATTCCATTCACCTAGGACACATATTTTAAATTTCAAGCTGGGCCTGGTGGCACATGCTTGTAATCCCAGCTACTCAGAAGGCTGAGACAGGAGGATTACAAATTTGAGGTCAATCTGGGCAGCAAGACCCGCGGATGTTTGCCTAGCCTGCAGAGGTCTTGCGTTTGATGGGTTCTATTAAAAACAACTTTACACAGTACTATTAAAAACAACTTTACACAGTATCTCCCAGGCCCATCCTGAATCGCCTAGGACGGTTGGCCTGAAGGGCCAGTGCCTCTGCGTTACACTCTGTGTGTTAAGCGAGTGTAGGCCCGACTCAGAAACAACACAGCCTCAGCCTTTGTCTTTTAAACAGTCAAAACCCATCCCGAGGCCTAAATTTATGCTCCAGGGTTTTCAGGTCCCTCTGGGAAAGGTGACCGCTTCCCCCTGAGGTGGCACCGGGTTAGTCCTCTTCAGCCACCTCCACCCACTCCCTTCCCCCTGCTTGCCCGGCCCTTTTCACATAGGTACCGGCCGTGGGTTTGTGGACAGGCCCTGCCGTCCGTTCAATAGCCACGCGGAAGGGGCAGCTGGGAAAGGCAGGTTACGACCTCAGCCTCCTGCACGAGGGGCTCCGCTCCCGCCCCGCCTGCCCTGGCCTCCTGGCTTTTCTGAGGGTGTTTTCTTCCCGGTATCACGGGCGGGGCCCTGGCGCCCCTGCTCCAGCCGCACTGGCCTGCGCTCGGATTCCTCTCCCGGGACCCGGGACCCGGGATCCGGCCCCAGCTGCCCGCGGCCTGCGGTCCACCTCCTGCGCCGGGCCTTGAGCTGCGTTCCCTGCACAGGACTCGGGTCAGGAATTGCTGAAAGCCCAAGGGGAGGTGAGCGGCCCTCCCGCAGGTGCTGCCCAGGCTCGCACAGACACGCGGCGGAAGGGAACCGCATATGTCCTGCTCCCTGCCTGTGCCCTGGGCCACCGTCTTCTGTGCGGTCGGCTGCGGAGGAACCAGCAGCGGAACTGGGGCGCGTCACTCGGCCGCGGAAGACCCGGTTCTGGGAGAGGTGAGGCGGGAACACCGTGTGTGTGGATCGGGGCTGCGCTGACCGCCACAGCCTGGCGCCGGACCCCCGTGCCAGGGACACCCGGATCTCTGGGCTCGCGTGGGCCCCGCTTTCCCAGCGACCAAGAGCGGCAAGGTTGAGGCCCCTGTTCTCAGGAACGCGTTTCCATCCGCCCCAAGGGCTGCCTTGGTTGGAAAATCACCCAAAGAAGTGGTTTAACTCAAGGAAAAGAAAAAGGAAGGATCGCTTATCCAAAGGGCTTGGGACCAGAAGTACTTCCAATTTTGGATTTTGGAATATTTGCATCGATTTTCCTAGGTGCACATCCCTAACTTCTGGAGCATCCTGTCAGCCATGCCTGGAGTCCCTGCTTTTGGGGAGGCTATAGTGGACGAATCACTTGAACCCAGGGCGGCCCTGCTGTCTCTCCCATTTTACAGGGAAAGACACTGCAGCTCAGAAATTAAAGAGCTTGTCTGAACTCCAGGCCCTGTCTCCAAAAAAACAAAAACAAAAACAAAAAACCCAACAAACTCTGAGCATTTTGAATTTTAACTTTCTGATTAAGAATGCTCAATCTAGCGGGGCGTAGTAGTGCACACCTGTAATCCCTGCACTTGGAAGGCTGAGGCAGGAGGATCGCTGTGAGTTTGAGGCCAACCTGGGCTATGAAGTGAGTTCAAGGCCAGCTTGAACTGCGTAGTAAAACCTTGTCTCAAAAAAAACCCAAAAAACTCAATCTGTATTAGAGTGAGGATCTCATTCATTTTCTTTCTTTCATCAAGCATTCATGGAACATTTACCATGCAAACTCTGGGTTAAATATTAGAGATATTAGGATGAAAATAAAATAAAGGTACAAGCCTCAGGAAATGTGAGAGTGGGGGGCAGACGTTATGCTGACCGCAGGGAGAGTTTACCCTGTTCCTAGGCTCCTGTCCAGCCTGGAGAGCTGGGCTGGCAGGGCCGTGGGAATCACAGAGGACATTTTTGGGGAAAGGCATTCAGGCACAGCAGTCTCCCTCACACACAGCAGGGACATTTTCAGGTGCACAGGTCCTGTGTCCTGGGTGTCAGCATTTGCTAAGCGCAGGCTTTTCAGTTCTTGCTGTTATGCTTTCTCCGTTCAGTGGGCGGCACTGCTGTCTCTCCCATTTTACAGGGAAAGACACTGCAGCTCAGAAATTAAAGAGCTTGTCTGAACTCCAGAGGAAGACCAGGACGCGAACTTCAGCTCTGTCTGACTTCGGGGCTATTTCTGTGACAGCCAACCTGTCCCAGCTGCGAACTGAAGGACTTGCAGGAAGGAATCGGTCCACGTATTGTCAGGACCACTTCTCCGGCATCTCCGTGAGGCACTTGAAGTGCCAGGCGCCACCCGCATTGCTGGCAGCTTGGCCGTGCCAGCGGTGGTGGTGGTGGGGCCTGGGGACAGCTGTAGGGGTGGCGGTGTGGCCTCAGTAGTCACAGTGGGCAGCCAGCCACCCCTTCACTATGCGCCGGACACTGCCTGAGCATTTAGCATGAATAACTTGCTTAGAATGCACGACAACTCCCATTTTTACAGGTTAGGAAACGGAGGCTCAGACCAGTACAATAACTGTCCTAAAGCCTCATACCTGGTTCACAGGGAGCCAGGACTGGACCTCAGGGGCTTGGACCAGTGCAGGTGTAGGCGGAAGAACGGCGCATCTTTGGTTGTTCTGAGAAGGATGCAGTATTTTTAAGTGCGTGTCTCCTGATTGGTTATGAGCCCCAAGAAAGAGGAGAACGAGTGTGGGAAGTTGCAGAAATGGCGGCAGTACCCTGCCGCTGTCCCAGCATGAAGTCCATTCACCTGGCCCTGCACGGGGTCCAGCCTGTGACCTGCTCTGATCCAGAGAATGTGGCGGAAGTGAGGGTGCCCAGTCCTGAACCTGGGGCTCAAGAAGCTTCTGCTCTTCCTATCCGCGGACCCTACTGTCATCAGAAGCAGCCCAGGATGGGCCAGCTGGGTGGGGCACATGTGGCCCAGTCACCCTTTCACCCCAGCCAACCACTGGATGTGTGAGCACCGCCATCTTTACCCACGCGGACCTGTCAGCTCGCTGTGGCCACGTCAGCAGGCACCAGAGCCAGGCCGGAAGGAACGGGCGCCCAGCTGACCCGGGAGCCATGAGCAAATACGCATTGACTGAGGCCACTGAGTTGAACCCACCGGGTGGCTTGCTATGTGGCAATAGATCACTGAGCAGAAAACGCCCCCAGGAGAAGAGAGAGGTGGAGCTGCAGGAGTTCCCACCAGACTCTACAGGCAAGCACGAACCCCGCAGGCTGGAAAAAGAGGCATTCACAGGAGAACCTGCCTGGGCCCCTCAGAAACCCAGTGTCCCACCTCTGCCGCCGTCTGTCAGGTGGAGGGGTGGCCAGAGGGGAGAGATTCCAGGTAGACAGAGGGGCTGGGAGCTCACTTGAGGGTGAAGCTCCCCAGCCAGCGGGAGGCGGCTGCCTGCTGGGAGGCGCAGTGGTGCCGGAGCAGAGAGGACTTGCTCTCTCTTGAGTCTCCTGGGACCCTGGGTGCCACAGAAGAGGCCAGACACGCCAAGGGGCTACTACAGTGACCCAGGCAGGGGGCCAGAATACTGTGGGTCTGAACCCCAGCCCCTGAGAATGAGAAGCGGAAAATCTGGGGAAGAGCTTCGGGTGTACCAGGGACAAGAAGGTGAGGCCAGCTGAAAAGGAGGAGGTGGGCCGCTGGAGGCGGGGCTTGTGAAGTAACCCTGCTGTTCAGAGGACAAAGGAACGCTTAGGCAACCAACAGTGGAAATAAGATTAAACATTACTTATTAAATGTCATCATCAGCCAGGTGTGGTGGCATTGTAGCCCCAGACATAGGGGTGGCGAAGGTGGGACAATCCCCAAACCCCAAGAGTCAAAAAAAAAAAAAAAAAAAAAAATCTAGCCAGGTGTGGTAGCAGAGGTGTGTAATCCCAGCACTCAGGAGGCTGAGGCGGGAGGGCTGCTGTGAGTTCAAGGCCAGCCTGGGGTCCAAAGTGAGTTCAAGGCCAACCTGAACTACATAGCAAGACCCTGTCTCAAAACAAAAACAACAACCCCCTCAAAGTCATTGCCATACAATGCATACAGATTATGGTGTCATGTCTTTCTGATGGTGACACTGGTGATTATTTATGTATTTGCAGCAATGGGGATCAATCCCAGGACAACCACTTGCCACCACTGAGCTATACCCTGAGCCCTACACCTACTATTTTTCTTTCCTTACTATTTTTGACACCTCGTTTCACCACGTTGCCCAGGCTGGTCTCAAACTCCTGGGCTCAAGGGGTCCTCCTTCCTTAACACATGCCACCATACGTGGTACCCACAGTGCTGAGTTTTTGGCGTGGCCTGCCATCCACCCTTGCTTCAAAGGCTGCCCTTAAATGTCCCTCCTCGAGGCATTTGAATTTTAAAAGGAACAAAAGCTTACGGGTGAACTGGTAGGCTTTCACGCATTGGAAACGGGACGAGGCCTTTTCTTTCGTGCTGGCCCCTTCCCCGGGCTCGCGGCAC